CCCCAAAACCCCAAAACCCCAAAACCCCAAAACCCCAAAACCCCAAAACCCCAAAACCCCAAAACCCCAATAACTTCCAAACATTGAACTATTTATCTAAAGAATCTACCTTCTGTGTCTTATATTAGAATGGGCTGAACTCCCTTTTCGTAAAGCGATTTGTTCATTATGGAGTTTGGGAGATCTCGCTTTAAATTTGTTAGTGTAGATTCTCCGGATAGGCACTTTGTTAATGATGTTAGTGGCTTGGTTGATTTCGAAATTCGTGTAGGGCTCAGGGATGTTATTTTAAAGCATGATAGATGCTTTGGGATTTGGCTTGGATTTTGCTCCGAGGTTTTATATGGGAGGAGTGTCTTTTGAGTAGTTTAGCGAATTTTTCGTGAGAGGTGGCTGGTCTTGAGGGTTTGGATTTGGGTAGGGCTTGGATAGATGGGGATTCTATGTTGGTGAGAGGGGATATTTACCTCTGAGTTCGGAATTTTCGAGCTGTTTATTTTATTTTAGTGATGTTGATATGACTTAACTCAGGGACGTCTCTTTGTGAAGCTTTTCTGTAATAGTTTAACCCATCAAGGATGTTATCAAGCAAGTTTATGTCAAAATTATTATCCTCTTTTCTATAGCTCACTTCAACAGATTGGTTTTTACCCTGTGCGAGTGCCAAGTCTGTAAGATCAGCATTATTGAAGAAGCTTGAGTTTTTACTTCCAAAATGATTTAATAATTTTTCTTCATCAAATTCATATTTATCCTGCTCATTAATATCTGATGAATTTTTATGCAAAACTTGTTTTCCAAGAATTTTGCCATGGAATCTCTTGTCATCTATTTTGGTGGTCCAACTGGCTTCAGGTGAAATTCTCCCTTTGCTATGCTTCTGAATATGCTGTGTTTGGTTAAGATTATTGGAATAGGGCAGATTTGTATGCGAAGTATGAGGCCTATTTGACCGTTCTAGGATCTTCTGATATTCTTGAGCGACTTTCTCTTGTTGCATTTGCCGAATCATTCTTGCCTTTCTCGTGTGGTCTTGGCTGCTAATTCTTTTTGGTTTTTTATTAGAGTATATACTTCTTGAAACCACTTGAAGACTATTGGATGGTTTATCAAACTATAAATTTAGAGGAAAAATCACTTTAGATTTATCTATAAAACTATATGACTCATCAAGCGGATCTGATTTCCGATGCATGCTCATTGCTGTTTTTGTATCTCTAGGCTTTTTAGTTTTGATTTTCATCAATTGAAGGAGAATCAATATCCCCTGCTGCAGGATATATAGGATCTTTATCAAATTCTGTTTCTTGGGTCTGATCCAGTTTTACTTTTTCAATATTATACTCTTCCAAATCTTGATTTGTGTGACTTATCAATACTTGAGTATCAGCAGATACTTCTTGAGGTGGTTTCCCTTGGATTGAATAAAGTTCATGAATAGTTTTATTTTTGTAAGAAGTCTCTGACCTTGTTATATTTCATGCCTGAGGATTTACTGAGTGTAATAGCCTTGACAGCCTCATTGACAGCTACTAATAACCCTAAGCACTTACTAATATCCTTATTTTTATTCAATTTTCTTGCAATCTTATACTTATTTTGATGATTAAAACTAGAAAGAACCTTAATATTCTTAACCTTCCTCTTAAATTTTCAAACGCCTATTTCCCTCTTGTTCCTCTTAGGCTGTAAGGACACTTCCTTCTCTTTGCTCTAGAGGTATTCATTAACAGATGTAATTTTATATAAAAATATGCTTAGTTATTTCCTTATTATTCCAAATACAGTCCAAAAATCGCACGTTCCCAAAAAACAAGTAGGTACCGATACTTAGGATACCGAATAAATAACTTCACACATATTAAACATTAAAAAGCCCTTGTTAAATACCTGTGTGTCCAAAACAGTCTTATAAAATATGTCCATGACCTTTTTCTTCTGTCCCTTGACATCAAACTGAGGCTTCTCTAAAGAAATAACCCATTGGCTCACTCCTTTGTTCTGACTTATAAGGCCTCTGTTCTTCTTGAAAAGAGGGGTTTGGCTTGGCGATTTTGAGTCCTTTAGGTATATTTATGTTATTTTAGGTCAAGTTTATTTATGCGGATGGCTTTGAAGGGTTCTTTGTGGCAGTCAGGGAGAAATGGAGGGTCAGGGACGGATCCGGAGATGCTAGTGGTGAAGAGAAGGTCGTTGGGGGTTTCTTCGTGTAGGAGAGGGTAGTTCTATAGGGGTTAGGAGAGGGATACGATGGTGTATTTGTTGTAGTAGGAGCTGGGAGGGTGGGCTGACATGTTAAGTTTCAAAAAATTATTTTAATTTTCAATTTTTCTTATGGGTTTAGGGGTTTTGGGGTTTTGGGGTTTTGGGG